TTTTGAAGAAAGATTGCTGACAAACTGCAACGAAGTCCCCTAAACTGAAGTAAGGATCCCTGAAGTTCATAGAAGCTTGCTGAACTATTTTAAGATCTTCTACAAAATTCCATGAACTGTTTCAAAAATTCATACAAATTCGCAAAACTTCTACAAAATTTGCTGTACTTTTACGTTTCTTCTTGATTTTCCACGGAATTTATCGAATTCGTACGTAATTTCCACAACTATTCCAAGTCCAAAAAGTGTCATCAAATTGTACGGAGATTCCTTCTGTCTACGACTTTTTTTTTAATATTTATGAAGTTCCCAGAATTTCTACTAAGTTTCTTCCAATCTCTACGATGTTCCCTAGACTTCTTAGAAGCCTTTCAAGTTTTACGAAGTTCCCAGAAGTTGAAAAAAAATACCCTAGACTCATGGCCAACTTATGGAGCCTGAAGACGTCTTATTATGCCATCGATTAAATATCGATATTATAAAACTACTCAAAACTGTTTATTCTAGTCCATAACATAAGAAAACTAGTCAACTTAAAGGACTTTAAAAAAATCGTTGTTTGCGGTCCAATTTAATTAATCACTTTTTAATAGTAACATCAAATTTAACAAGCTTGAGGCTTGAGCTTAAGTAATTGAAAAGCTTGACAAAATACATGCGAGTAAAAAAAAACACCAATCATTTCAGGGGGGGGAGGGGGGTCTAGATAATTCTGGAGGGGGCCTGGCCCTCTTGGCACCCCCATTAGCTACTCCAATGACAGCACCGTAATCGTATAGGTCAGCTTGTATCCCAGCAGTCAGGAGCCAGGTTTGCAGCGAGCTGGATTTGCTGTAGATGGTTTCCTGGTCTACGCCGACCGCCGTCAGAATGCAATCCGCTTTCTGCAGCAAATCATCATGGGAAAACTCTGGTTCCTTCCAGTTGGCGTAGAGGTGATGTAGAAGGAATCTCTATTGAGCACGATATTCAACATTTTCGGGGCCGTTGTGAATGCAAACCAAAATATTCAAGCTGTCAGAAATACCGGGTTGCCACATATTAAAGAATATTCGTATTTCACAAAAAATCGTAGCTTGCTCTGTGACCGTTACAAACGGTGCACCTGCGGCACACTTGTGGCACACTGAGAAAAATGTTGACCCAAGATTGGTGTGCTGAGTGAAATACCCCTTGGGAAAAAAATGATTAACATGGATATTTTATTGACCACACTTAGAAATAACTACTTTTACACGAGACGTAATCCATATTGAACGTAAATCATGGAACGTAAACCATCATTTCATGTGTTCTCAAACCGAAACATACGCAAGTCGACGAAGAGAACGTTTGATTGAATTGATTTTCTCGTTTCTTTCAACTGATTCTTATGTCAAAAAGGTCGCTTACATGTGTCGGTCTCAGGGAACCGAAATTTACATGACATTTTCGTAGTGTGCAGTAAATAAAAAAGAAGTTTTTATAAAAATTGTTGATAAAGGAAATAAACCATTTCAAATTATACATTAAGACCATTATGCACCGATAAAATTTCCTTCTTCCAATTGCGTCATGTATATATTAGTGATTGTGGATGAATTTACAATGTTAACCCAAATTTTCCCAACTAAAACAACAAACGCAGACGAAGTAATTAGTAAACCTTGCCAAATTGTAACCGACAAAGGTACTTGCTACACTTCCAAAAAGTTTGCAGATTTCATAGTTGTGCACCAAATTGAACACGTAAAAACTGCTTCACCAACTCCAGAAGCAAACGGGCAAGTAGAGCGTATGACTAAAACTCTTACACCAATGCTTGCCAAATTGTGCTGTGAATCTACTCGAAAATGGGATAAGCTGTTGACAAAAATTATGTTTATATTTAACAATACATCATCCAAGAACTTTATTATTCGATAATAAATCATCCAAGCACTTTATTGTTCGGTAATCATCCAAGCACTTTATTATTCGGAGTTCAACAGAATACTTTTAACTGTGAAAATCATAATTTAGAATTGTTTGTTATAAAGAGGCAACCAAATTCAGAATCAATTACCAATAACTTCGTGAGAATGCTCAAAGACAGAATATGAAAATCCAAGCTTATAGTATACATAATACAGACAAAAAAAAACAGGTTGAAAGGGATTTTGTAGTCTTGAAATAACGTTCAAAGGACCTTATAAAATTGACAATGTTTTGTCAAACAATAGGTATGTCGTAAATGATATTGATGGATTTCAAATTTCAAATATTTCCTTTCAACTCCTGAGGTTTGTTCTCCTCAAAATATAAGGAAATGGAAATGGATACATGATTATATTTTAGAAGGTAGTAATATCGATGAGGACATCGAAAGTGTCAGGATGCCTGAGATTTAGTAACTCATAATCATAGTAGGCAGATTGAGGGCTGAAGCGTAGACACTGAAATTGTTAGGACATTCTGTAAAGCTTCAAACCCACAAGACATGTTTGATTGAAACTCTAATCTAATCTTATCTAATCTAATACAAACGCAGCCAGTGCGAGAATGCATCCTGGAAAATGATTAGGTTAGATAACGCCTAATGATTTTTTTTTGTCAACATTGGTGTTCAAAACTGCCAAGTCTACTACCATTTGCGGCAAAGATGATTCTGTAAAATGATTAGAGTTTAAATAAATATATTTAAACAGCGGTTCATTTCGTGAATTTACAGGTTTGGAAGGATGCGTGGACATACCGTACCAAACGCTCCGAGTTATGTAAGAGGGAACTTAACAATCATATGTGATGTAACGAATGGTTTATATAATATAGTATAATTGAAGGATCTCACCAAATGCTTCCAATGTACCTGAAATCCTTAATTTATAGATAAAAATGGAATGATCTCTCCGAAACTGGTCTGCTTGACCAGTGGCGTCGCCCTAACCTCAATCTACCTGTTCAACATCTTTCAAAACGTAATCAAATAAACCGCCATTGCTTTAAAACGATACAAATAAGTGAAACTAGAAGATCCTTTGCATTTCGAGACTGATTTGAATATAGTTATGACTCTAAATAATGATTTCAAAGTCGTTGCACTGGTAGAAAGTGAGGTGCTTGACTGTGATCATCAACTTTTCCGAGCTTCAAAAGGAGTACTCCTTCGGGTGCAGCTTCTTGGTGTGGCTGAATCGGACGATTGGATGTTGGAGGTTCAATGGAGATCTATTTTTTTCGGAGTGAAAGCACACACACGTCCATTGACTGGCTGCCAGGATTTTTTTTTTCATTGATTTGGTTTCCGTCGATCTTGTTTTCCGTGCTGAACACCAATGCTATCGACGCCAGGAAGGCAGTTCTCACACCTGGACCCTACCTATCGACCCATCAACTCATGAACCGGGGACCAACGGCTTTACTTTCCTTCCGAAGGAAGGCGTGATCAGAGATGTTATGCCTGAGAACATCCCGGCGGCGCCGACTGGGATTGAACCCAGGCCTGCTGGGGTGAGAAAGCTGTCACGCTTACCACTACACAACCGGGGCCGCTTGGTTGCCAGGATTCGCGGCTTTAATTAGTAGTTCGGCAGTCCAAGAATATCAGAGCTTCCATCCCTTTTCCGAACAATAATGGGCTTGGTGCACAGCACAGGTGGCGATAAATATGTAAAACACACGGACAGAGTAGCCGGCGCCGGTGGTGTAGTAGTAAGCGTGATCCCAATGGGTCTGGGTTCAGCCGAGGTCGGTGAGATTTTTCTGAGGCATAAAAATCTCTGGTCACGTCTTCCTTCGGAAGGGAAGTAAAGCTGTGGTCCCAGTCCATGTGTGTGTTGAATGGGTGCGATATCCTATGAAAGTGTGGAAGCTACCTTAATGCACATTCGATTGCCGTCAATGAATGGCAATCGATGTCCGTCGGTGATTGGCACTAGATTGCGGAACAGAGACCGATGTTAAATAAAGGAAATGAAACGGACAGAGTACGATCCGACAATAAAACGTTTTTTTCACGGCAATCGGTCACTTTCGCTTCACTCTAGAGGTGTCGTATTTCAATATTTGTCTATCACTAATTAAAACTATTTTGATTAAAAGAAGTTTTAGCCGAAACGAGCGAAAAAATATGACAGTGAAAAAACAATTGAATTCAGGGTAATGTTCTAATACTCCAAAGGCACCAAACCTTTCGAGTTATTAAGTCACTGTTGAAAATACTCGGAGTTGTGCTTGTGTATCTCCATAATATTAAGTGTTTTAAACGAGGAATTTACAAGAAGCAAAAGTCTGATCTGTCCTCAATCTGCACTTTTAACTGTTTTCCTCAATCAGTTTTTTAAGTCTATACACAAACCAAAAATCTATTACATTGAATGTTAGTTGCATTTCCTATCATCCTCTGCATCCAATCCCGCAGCAAATGATATTAGTTGACCTAGCAAACGATGTAATGTAAAGTTTTTTGCTTTTGACTAAACCATCAAGATTTTTATTTATACATTGTAGAACGACGCACACACTTGCTTCGATTCCCTTCGTTCGTGGTCCGAGACCTAGTCGGCAACCTTTTTTTTCGACATGATTAATTTCACCGCAGCTCGGTATATCGCATCCCCCGTTCATGCGGTCTCCACTAACATCCTCCTATGATGAATCCCACATAATGGTAAGCGAATCTTACATCCTCCGGTTGGGTGTATTGAATAGACCTCATCACACAATGCATCGAATAACCCCCAAAACATCGCAAAACGCACAGGGTGATCTGTATGCTTTTGAACGAAACCGAAAAATTCCCCTCCCCCCTTCTGTCCCTCGAATGTTACTACATACATCCTTCCTGTGAGATGAGTACCCATCGCTGGTGGAGAGCATGAACACCCTCCTTGCATGGTTATCCGCTCAATTGCTCACGGTGTGTGTGGAGCTGCAGATCCTCCTTTATCACCGTCGTTGGAGCACAATTTTCCGGGGAGCATATCACGCACTGCGCTCCAACTGCTGGTCTCAGTTTCGTTTGACATTCCGAAAAGTGAACAAAGCAGCGGCCGAGTCTCTCGACGGTAAGCGTGTCCTGTTTGCTTCCCCTCCCCCTGGAGCAGTATGTGCAGCAGCACTAGAGGGACAGATAATGGAATGGTGGTACATGGTATGGTCCTGCGGTCGTTTTTCTAATTAGTACATCATACAGTGTTGTATGCGGAAAGGACTAGGAAACGGAACGAACAACTGTGTACCCGTGAGTGTGCGTGCGTGCGGACGTGTGGGTCAAGTCCGGAAGAAGGACAGTGCAGAAAATTGTAAGCACCAGCCTGGCAGCAGGCCGGAATCAGCGGATATCAATTTGGACAGGGAAGGACAAGATGTGTTAGCCGTTTTTACTCTGTCGGTTTGTGTCGAAGAAGGGACCTGGAGTGGTATTTGGATGTACTATTTACCTTGAGGGGTTATCTTTTTGAGGAACAGTGGAAATTGAGCCGCAACATGGGCCGCAAATGGAAGGAGAAAAGGATCCGGTGCGTTTCCAGATCCAGCGACTAGCAGTGGGCTGCTGTGGCAGTGAAGATTACTCTGACGAAATTGAAAAATGTGCTACAGAAGGAAAGACGATTGATATTTTTTTTTTCGGAATTCTTTCAACAAGAAATTTTCCTTTCTTTCTCTGGTTGGCTTGATGAAAAAAAGCGTCGAAGACGGTGGGATGGGTATCCTCAAGATGGTTTTTGACAGTGAAAAATTGTGAAAATTGTCTGGCTCTGTGTGCGAGAAGAAGCGGCGAACAAGTGTAAGAAGAAGCAGCAGCAGCATCGAAATACGGGAATCCGGATTGCCTCTCGCGATTGAAGCTACGGCATTTCGCTCTTTTGGTGTAGTGATGTGGAGTTTTTCGAGACGAGAGTTCGCGGAGAGAAATCTCTTTTGATAATATACGAGGTGGATAAATGAGCTGCATAAGAATTTGGCTTTCGGCGCTTTTCTGATCCCTCTGTTCTCCTTTCTTACCCTTGAAATCACAATAATGATGTCCCTAGTTAAGGCACCGTGAGAAAAAAAAACTATCTCTCCCCGGTGGGGTCGAAGCAGACACAATTAGAAGAAGAAGAAGAAGACGAAGATCGAGCTTAACAGATGAAACAATGTTTTATTAAAAGTTTTGAAAGGCAAATTTTCATATGTACACATAGATCAGCGTGAGAAACGAGCAGTGAGGGTATACGTGAGTGGGGGACGAGATTGAGGGAGCCTCGGCGAACCACGCGCGCACGGATTCGTGAGGATAAATGAAAGTTTCGTCGGTTCGGTGGAAAAACCAATTTTCTCGCTGTACAGCGGTTCTGCGGGGATTTATTTTACGAGTGGCGGACGTGCTTGTGAAATAAGTGCGGTGGCAGTGAAACACACAAAGTTGGAGACCCTGAATCGCGGAACAACAGTGTAATTTGCGCTCGTATTCGACATTGTTGTGAGGCGACATCCTGCTCGATTCGTTGGGGACCGCAACTGCTGAGGAATTGCTGCGGCGGCGTGTGTGCCATCTCGTAAGTAGTAACAGCAGTGAATTTTCGGTTTTCGTTGAGAGCGAGAGTGGCGAGGAGGCAGAATGAATGCGGCGGGTGATCAGTGTTGCCAGGTTTGACTATATGATGAATGTAATGCGTGTCAAACTTTTTTTTTCGAGATTGCTTGAGGTCTTAGTACATTGAACGGAGAGGCCGTGGGTAAATGGCTCAAAAATGATATTAATTGAGATACATACTGGCAAGTCTGTCATCGGTTAGGGTGTCCATGAATGTATGGGAAAAAAGTGACCCTTGAATTTTCAAAACCTACCATATACGAAATTTTTATTCCCTCGAAATAATACCCTGTGCCAAATTTGGGCTCAATCAGACATGATTTAAGGGGGCGCAAAATCGTCAGTTATTTGTCATATTATATCCTAACAAGAACTGAAGAGATCAGTTGAATCACTTGCATATTTTGGAAATAATGAAAATTGAATTGGGAGTTTTCATGTAATGCTAAATAGTGCTGGTGGATAAATACTTTAACGATTCTTTTGTAACTTTCGGGATAATCAAAATATGTTATTTATATTTTTTTTGAAGATCTAATGACCAATATTTAAAAAAGACTTATATATTTTATTTAACGGGTGTTCAATAAAAAATGAGAATGATTTCAGTGCCGTCCAGCGCTCTTGTGAGAGCATCGCTACTTAGTTGCGTCGTACGGCTGACCAGGACCCCTTCTCCAATATTCATTGACGTTTTTTTGAAGTATAAACATTATGTTTTTAATAAAAAAATCTGAATTCGTTGAAAAACATTTTTTTTTACTAGCTATATGACTGAAAAAATTCTCATTTTTTATTGAACACCCGTTAAACATGCTTCTCGCAAAACAGTTAGGTCGGTTTCGCATGACGTCAAAATTCATGTCGTATTTTTTTTATGAATTCAACAAATAATTATGAAAAACGCGTGCTAAGAGGAAAGATCTACCTTACTTAGCTTACCAATCAGGCTAAGGCTTTGTTGTCCTCTGCTGTCTGAAGAAGTCGTCTCCACTCTACTCGATCCATGGCCACAGTTCGTCAGCCTCGTAGTCTGCGAAGGGTCCGCAGGTCACCTTCTGCTTGGTCGATCCACCTTGCCCGCTGCGCGTCTCTTCTTCTTGTTCCTGTTGGGTCGCTTTCTAGAACCATTTTCACTTAGTCGTGCTTCATTCTTACGACGTGCCCAGCCCACGTAGTCGCCCAATTTTTGCAATGTGGACGATGGATGGTTCTCCCAGCAGTCGGTGCAATTCGTGGTTCATTCACCTCCTCCACGTTCCGTCATCCATCTGCACTCCACCGTAGATGGTACGCAACACCTTCCGTTCGAAAACACCAAGTTGGTCCTCCACGAGCATAGTCCAGGTCTCGTGGCCGTAGCATCTTGTAGACAGTCAACTTCGTGCGGCGGCGAATTTTATTCGACCGGAGCGTCCTCCGGAGTCCAAAGTAGGCACGATTCCCTGCCATAATGCGTCTTTGAATTTCTCTGCTGGTATCATTTTCGGCGGTCACCAGTGAGCCCAAATACACGAACTCATCGACCACCTCGATTTCGTCACCGTCAATCTGAACTCGGGGTGGGAGGCTAACATTGTCTTCCCTAGAACCTCTTCCTTTCATGTATTTTGTCTTTGATGCGTTGATGGCAAGTCCAATCAGTCTAGCTTCAGCCTTCAGTCTGATGTACGTTTCCACCGACGTCTCAAAGTTCCGTGCCATGATGTCGATGTCATCGACGAAGCCAAGAAGCTGGATGGACTTTCTGAAGATCGTGCCACTCGTGTCTATCCCTGCTCTTCTGATCACACCTTCTAACGCGATGTTGAATAGCAGACACGAAGGTCCATCACCTTGGGACTCGAGAGTGTCCCCGATACTCGAACAACGCACATCACTCGATCCATCGTCGCCTTGACCAATCGCGTCATTTTATCCGGAAATCCGTACTCGTGCATAATCTGCCATAGCTGATCTTGATCGATTGTGTCGTATGCGGATTTGAAATCGATGAACAAATGATGTGTGGGCACGTTGTATTCGCGGCATTTCTGCAGAACCTGCCGAATCGCGAACATTTGGTCCGTGGTAGCGCGGGCACCCGCCTGGTATTGCCCCACGAACTCTCTTGCAAATGGTGACAGACGGTGGCATAGAATTTGGGAGAGTACCTTGTAGGCGGTGCTCAGCAGTGTGATCGCGCGGTAGTTGCAGCAATCCAACTTGTCGCCCTTTTTGTAGATTGGGCATACGACACCTTCCATCCACTCCTCCGGTAATATCTCCTCTTCCCAAATCTTGGCAATTACCCAGTGCAGCGCTCTAGCCAGTGCTTCACCACCGTATTTTAATAGCTCACTTGGTAGTTGATCTACACCAGTTGCTTAGTTGTTCTTCAGCCGACTGATCTCCTCCTCAACTTCTTGAAGATCAGGGGCCGGTAGCCTGTCGTCTTCTGCGCGTGCTCCAAGGTATGCAGCCGAGCCACCTTCATTTTCTGCTGCTTCACCGTTGAGGTGCTCGTCATAGTACTGCTTCCACCTCTCAATCACCTCACACTCGTTCGTGAGAAGGTTACCGTCCAAGTCCTTGCACATATCGGCTTGCGGCACGTAGCCTTTGCGCGAACTATTTAGCTTCTCGTAGAACTTCCGTGTGTCGTTTACGCGGTACAGATTTTCCATCGCCTCGCGATCTCGGTCTTCCTGCTGACGCTTCTTTCTTCGGAAAACCGAGTTTTGACTGTTCCGCGCTTGTCTGTATCGCTCCACATTCAATCTCGTCCGGTGTTGCAGCATTCTCGCCTGTGCTGCATTCTTCTCCTCTACGAACAGTTTGCATTCGTCGTCAAACCAGTCATTTCTTCGGTCCGGGATTGCAGTACCTAGTGCCGCTGCAGCAGTACTACCTATGGCTGAACGGATGTCCCTCCAGCCATCTTCAAGAGAAGCTGCGCCAACCTGCTCTTCCGTGGGTAGTGCAACTTCCAGCTGCTGCGCGTAGTCCTGGGCACCTCCGGCGTCCCGTAGATGCTCAATGTAGGGTCGCGGCGTTCGACTTCGACGTGTGTTATGCACCGTCGAGAGTTTTGAGCGCATGCATACTGCAACTAGGTAGTGGTCCGAATCTATGTTCGCACTGCGGTACGTGCGGACGTTGATAATGTCGGAGAAGAATTTCCCGTCGATTAGAACGTGATCGATTTGGTTTTCTGTGTGTTGGTCAGGTGATCTCCAGGTGGCTTTGTGGATATCCTTGCGGGGGAAAAAGGTACTTCGAACTACCATACCCCGGGAGGCTACAAAGTTCACGCATCGTTGGCCGTTGTCGTTCGATACGACATGCAGGCTGTTTGGCCCGATTGCCGGTCTATACATTGCCTCCCGTCCTACCTGAGCGTTCATGTTGCCGATGACGATTTTGACGTCCCGTTGCGAACAGCCGTCGTACACCTGCTCCAGTTGCGCATAGAACGCTTCTTTCTCGTAGTCGGGTCTCCCTTCGTGTGGGCAGTGCACGTTGGTGATACTGTAGTTGAAGAAACGGCCCTTAATCCTCAACTTGCACATCCTCGCGTTGATCGGCTGCCAACCAATCACGCGTTGGCGCATCTTACCCAGCACTACAAAGCCGGTTCCCAGCTCGTTGGTGGTGCCACAGCTCTGGTAGAAAGTAGCCGCTCGATGCCCGCTTTTCCATACCTTTTGTCCCGTCCAGCAAAGTTCCTGCAGTGCTACGACTCCGAAGTTACGTGGTTGAAGTTCATCATAGATTAACCTATCGCAACCTGGGAAGCCAAGCGATTTGCAGTTCCATGTTCTGAGTTTCCAATCGTAGTCCTAATTTTGTCGCGTAGGTCTGTGCCGATTGTTCCGATCCGTATTTCTTTCTTCAGTATTTGCAACTTTGTTTTTTTATTTTCAGGGCGTATTGTTGGGCTTGCCCCAACCCCCTGTCTCGCCGGGACCCATCGTGCACAGCTCTGTTTAGAGTCCCACGATGGCACTAGGACGGTGATCAGCCGCTCCTAACAATGGGTCTGGGTTCAATCCCAGCCGAGGTCGGTGGAATTTTTCTGAGGCATACAAATCTCTGGTCACGTCTTCCTTCGGAAGGGAAGTAGAGCCGTTGGTCCTGGCCCATGTGTGTTTGATTGAATGGGTGCAATATCCTACGCAGTTGTGGAAGCTGCCTTTCTGCACATTCGATTGCCGTCAATGGATGTCAATCGATGTCCGTCGGTGATTGGCACTAGATTGCGGAACAGAGACCGACGTTAAATAAAGGAAAGAAGTAGCGCCCATAGATTTGAAAATCGTCAATAAATAGCTGAGCTATGATGTTTCAAACATTAAAAGTTTGCCGTTACACAATTGACCAGAGGCATCGTGTTCAGAGTGTTAATAAGATTATTATAGAAGCTTTTTATGGAAGCTTTAATTCTAGACGCTTACCCGTCGCTTCGCACTTCTAACTCAAAAAACAATGTAACATCATTTCAAGGTTTATGGAACAAAATCAAAAAGTTAGTGCCCGAAACATGAACAGTATATGTCTAATTTATCGATCATGCCTATATTTTTAAGAGCGCAAACTTTATATTCTATGGATCATTTTCATTAGTTTAAGGTTCATTGCTGAATGTTTTATCCTTTCCTTTATTTAACGTCGGTCTCTGTTCCGCAATCTAGTGTCAATCACCGACAGACATCGATTGCCATCCATTGGCGGCAATCGAATGTGCAGGAAGGCAGCTTTCACACCTGCGTAGAATATCGCACCCATTCAACACATATGGGCCGGGACCAACGGCTTTACTTCCCTTCCGAAGGAAGACGTGACCAGAGATTTTTATGCCTCAGAAAAATCCCACCGACCTCGGCTGGGATTGAACCCAGACCCATTGGGGTGTTAGAAAGCAGTCACGCTTACCACTACACCACCGGCGCCGGCAGAATGTTTTATGGATCATTTGCAATA